AGAGAAGTTCGCGGTTTGTTAGACAAATAACCTCTATTGTGCAATTGTCTTTGGACGGCAATAGGACATTGTAAATGAGAATCGTCAATACGTCATAACCGTTGCTCTGAACGGGCACACAGTTCCGTGTCACATTCATCAAATATCATTGGAATTGTGACAAACATGTATCATAATGTCCGCTTTGCCGAAAACGTAATCCAAACAATGCTTAATCCGCCAATTGGCTGGTCTGCATTTCAGCTTAATTATATGGTTCGATTGATTCATATGTTTTTAATATCGGATTAAGATCAATAGGTAAGTGGTTGTCCAGGAGTCAGTATCTGAAAAACTGCCCGCGTAACTTAAAAGTCTAGATAAATTACTGAAGTATTCTTCCACACTATTAAACATTGTACGGCCGATATATAATAGAAGCGATAGTCGTTTCCAGTGCGTGAACTCGTGAGTTGAGCCCCACAAAGACTTGAGACAGGCTCATAAGGAGCGTAATGGTCTCGTAAACTGCATAGCTTCTTATCATGCCTGTTTGTATACATGTCATCACGGGGGGCTAGCAAAACGGTTGAACGACCTGCGTCAAGAGGGTTCCTTGTGAATTCTTGCTTCTCCTTAATTAAAGTAGGAATTTTTGCAAAAAAAAAAAAAAAAAAAAAAAAATAGAAACAGCAGAATACTATAGCAGAAGAAGACTCATAGCACTGTACGACCAACTACCAGACCTACTCCGTGCCCCATAATATTATTATATATCCAGCCACATACGATTCTTTTTCCAAAAATGCAATCTGGTGCATAGCTTGTCTGCTTTCTGTCACGCAACAATAGTCGATGACTTATTGCTGGCATCAAGTATTTTTTTGACGTTTTCCCTAACATTAGCCGTCTACCAGTCAGTCATAAAATGTCGCGATGTGCTCGTGTTCGGATGCCGGGTTCGTCCGATTAGGATGGCGACGCGCAAATGCAGAAGTCCACAGGCCAACCTTTTCGAAGGGTGACCCAGTCAAGTAGAAACGCAAGCCGCGTTTTCAAACGATACTCGATATTTGACGGAAGTCGAAGATTATTAGCACCGCTGAATATTTTGACCAGCAGCCAGTAAAGAGGTAGGAAGAGCGGGAAATATGAGTTTGTGAAGACTTCAGGCGAAGCCAATAGCGGCAGGTGGTTGCTGCTGGTTGAAATAGTATATTTCGAAGAAATAGAATAACTCATCATTCATTGATCATTGCAATGATGATCACTTCCATTGCTTTTTTTTTTTTTTTTATGGTTTTTAAACTTAATGCTTAAAATACTATTGGCTAGTTCTTTATTAGGGAGAAGAACTAAACACAGTAACAAGATAACCTATTTATTATTGTTTAGAAAAAGCGTAAAACAGTGTGACCATTCGTTCGAATGAAGTCTGCCATTTTTTGGTCTGAGCTAATTGTTAATCGACGAATGCCGAGGTGCTGCTCCTTTTTTTTTTCTCTATACTTTATGCTAATTATACTTGCATTTTTTTTTTTTATTATTTAATAAAGACCGGAATCATAATAGCACAATCCATGTTACTTGCTCGCCATCAGCTGGAACATACAAATGATGAATTACGCTTATTTGAAGAACTAACCTATGCATATGCGTGCGCCAAGGGAAGCTCGTGTTATATCAAACATCTGGTAAACGAAAGTACATGAACAGTATGCATCTGCATAGTAGGCTATTATAGGTTGCTATTGTCATTATGATCATTACTCCTGTTAATTAGTATAATTAGGCAGAGTTGGATTGCAAGTTCGTACTTACGCATGGACTCACTCATTAGTATAGCCATACCGGTTTTATGTTGAGGTCACTGCGGATTATCTTTCATTACAAACGCGTCGTTTCACTGGTGCCTAATCACAGACGTCGTTGTCCTACAGAAAGTATCAAGTAGACCTTTGCGCGACGAAAAGTATACGGTTAACACAACGTAACTTATAACTTTTCGTATCATATTGGAAAAAAGCTAATCATCTGTTTACCTATGGGAGCAGAATGTCACGTACAGAGAAACTTCTACACACATGTTGTAGATAATGAATGCGAGCAGAGACAAAAGTATTACCTTCAAGGGTCAGAACATCTTCCGCGCCTAGAATGTTACAATTACACGACAGAAATAATTACTCTTCACTCCTTCGCAGTACCAGCGGCATCTACGTATGACATTTCCACTATCTGTACATTTACGTTCGTCATCTATTTTCTCCTTATATTCTTCTAGAGTCATTAGAGCGAAAAAGTTTTCACAGATGGTAACCCCTTCGGCTCAGCCCCCGGCCACCGGTCCACAAGTTCGACCTCGCTATCACTTCGGTTTACTTTGTATCCTACCCCTTGCAGCTCATCTATTTCGGCATTCAGATGACCGACCACAACGGCTAGCGGCCTATACCCTACCTCCTGTTTTTTTGTCTCACTGAAGATTTTCCATATAGAATGTTATCGTAATCGTACTATTTGTACCTATTAAAACTAATTTCTAACGTGTCAAACCATTAATATAACCAAGAATTTGGCCACTCAGCTGGTTTGTCAACTTAGTTGGCGAAATATTCTGGCGCCATCGTTCGCAACTGTGTACGTCAATTACTTGCGTTTACCAATCTACCGTTTGGCCGCCGGCTACAGCTTGGAGCACCACACCGATTCGTAGGCCCGTGACGGATTGGTCCTGGTCATCTCGAGCTTCCTGGATTACTGTTGTAGGCAGTGCGGGGATCGGGGGGTCTGGTGAAAATACGCACTCGCCGTTTCTGCGTTCGGTTTTGGCCGAAGTGACCACAATTGAACAGCTACAAATGTCACTGTGTAGACAGTGTACCTTAGTGGCGCCCCTTGGCGTCAAACGTGCACCGGAATTGAATGTCTGTTGTGCGCACTTGGCTAGCGGTACAGGCTTCCACAGGTACGTTCGCATTAGGCATAAGTGAAAACTAAAAAGTACGTTCAGTAGGCAAAGTCGTTAACCTATTTTACAGAAAGACCAAGGAGCGGACGTAGCAGGCCTTAAGGGTTTAGCTTGGCCATTACAATTCCGCCATAAGTAACAGCTGCGGAACATTGCAGAAGAACGAAAGTAGGAGAAAAGCAAAGAAAATTAGTTGTTAAATTTATATGCGCAAGCACATTGTGTTTGTGGCGTGTTCACACGGGTTTCCCGTTACGCGAACTACAAAAGTCCAAGATGACCCCCTGTATTTGTTGCAAACGTTGAAATTCGCTTACGACGCTGAAGGATAAGAAAACTCACTGTGAACACATTCTATTTGTAGTTTATTAATAAGTCGATGTTGCTTATTTTTGTGCTAATATAAACCGTATAATTGCTTTGCCTTATTAGTTGTACTGATAGCGTGGCTAAAACATACGCAGACGAGCATTTTATTTCGAAATCTCAAAATTATGGTAACGACATGGTAACAGTTTCTAAACATATACCATTTGCGCGTATTTTTGTTCCATATACTTACTTCTGTTTTCTCTAGCACTTTTGGCTGTATCTGCTACGTGAACAGGATCTAGCCTTTGCCATCGCCTACTTCTGCTGGTAGTGTTTAGGTCTTCATACACTGTATATATTGAAGCCAAGCGTTAGCTAGGCTGGTAGGAGATGTTTTGAATAAGGAGTTTTATCAGTCATCGTTGCACTTTGCTGCCGCCATCATGAGCGGACGACGACTAAATTGGATACCTGAATTGCACGTAGTGGTAAATAGCTAATTCACCATACGTCCCAGTGCGTGTTCTCCCTTCCACAGCAGTTTGAAAATGTTTTTCTTACCGACGATGTTGTCATACGTCCTATTATTAGGAAGCAAAAGGAAGCAGCTTTTACATGAAAGAACCATATTCAAGTACTTAGTTTGAGCACGGACCTATCCTCAATTAATCGACAGAAGACATGTGACCTTTCCAGGAGGCCTTATTTGATTGGCTAATGACTATATGTGCTTACCTATATTAGCCATTTTTTTTTACCCGCTTTCGCCTCTCGCTCATGGTGATATCCCCCGTGAAGTCCTTGCTTCCATCACTACCTTCGTTACCCTAAGCAGTTCAATAAATGAGTCTCTCAAATTAGGATTAGAACAGTAATTGGGTCTAAGCGGGTTAATGAATGTGTTTGCTTGTCGTTTATATAATTGTTTAAACAGTATTGTGATTAATCTAAATAAATTTAGTCTCATTTCTGAAGTACTTAGCTCTGTCCAATTAGCCTATGATTGAAATCAGCTTTCCAAAGGCCATGGGGCAAGTCCGTCACTGGAAGCATTGATATTCCAATGAGTCATGTGTCCTATAATAACCCGCTTCGACCAATGTCTCTGCCGTCCTTCTAAGTTGCTCTATTCTTGAGCGTGCCGCAAGAGATCAAATGTATTTTCTATTGGATGTACATTGAACGTGAAGCGTCTTCAAAATGCGCATGTTGAAAAAGCTAGTTGATAGAATACTTCAGTCGCGGACGTTCCCGATGTTATTAGTGTGCATTTAGTAAAACATACAATCACTGAGACATTCAACTGATTCTTTGATTTCGTTATTACCATTTAGAACCATGCGGTTCTGTATAGTTTCTTGCAATGTAAATTACTTTACCGAACGTTTATATTTCCATATTCTTGTTTGATCTGTTGGCACACGACAAGCCCACAAGTTATGCTGAACGACCTCTATCTGGGCTGGCTTCGAATGTCGCCCTGTTACGAAGCATCTGATCGACAATTTTGCAGACGACCCAGTCTAAGCTAGGCAAGGAGAGAAACGTATGGACCCACGAAGCCTCTGCAAGCCCACGCGGAGCTGTTCATCTCTACAGATGCTCTGTTATTGTAGCTCCCCCCTTTCTCTCTGTTTGTTCGGCATTCTGCAAAGAGTCAGCGCTCGGAGCTCTGCTTCGCCGGCGCAAGCGGCTTATATGTCCGATACAGAACAGGCCGAGCGATCCGCTTTGGCAAGCAACGCTACATAGGTTTGAAGGCTAGGTTAGACATGCTGTGTTACGTGTTGTAGGTAACTGTGTGAGCCGCTGTGTGCGCAGAATGAAAACGGGCAAAGTAAAAAAGCAGAAGATACCGCCCAAAACACGGAAGGGTCCGTTCAAGTGCGATGAGTGCGGTAAAACGTATAAGCACCGGGATTCATTCGCTGATCATTTGCGATTTCATTACGGCGAGCTAATCGATTGTAAGCTGTGTAACATGAAGTTTACTCGGCAGAGTCGTTATAATAGACACATGCTGACGCATACCCAAGAGAAGCCTTTCAAATGCCCCAACTGCGACAAAGGCTTCAATCAGAAAGGTACCCTTGCTCGACATAGACTTCGATATCACAGCGATAAGCCGTACGAGCCAAAACGACGGTTTGTCTGCGAACAATGTGGTTCTGCGTTTCCATCGAATGGAGCCCTTACCGTTCATATGCGAGTACACACTGGCGAACGGCCATACAAGTGTGAGCAGTGCGACAAAGCGTACAAGGGCCCGGGATCGCTGCAGCAGCACATAAAAAAGCATACGGGCGAACGCGAGTTTCAGTGCGCTGAATGTCTGGCGACTTTCGCTCGAATAGGCTCGTACAGAACACACCTGCTACTACACAATAAAGACCAACGCAAGCAATACGAGTGTGATCTTTGCAATAAGAAATTCGGCTATAAATCTAATCTTACTATGCATTTGATCATGCACTCAAATACGAAACCGTACGAATGTCAGCACTGCGGTAAAGGCCATAATACAAGCACCCAGCTGAAAGTCCATCTCGGCAGATACCATAATGGCGAGAAGCCGCACGCGTGCACCGAGTGCGATGCACGATTCACGACGAAAGGCGACCTGAAGGCCCATGTCGGCCAGCACGATCCGTCACGGCCATTGGCGTGCGATTTTTGCAACTATCGCTTCAACGCTGCCAACACATTACAGATACATAGGAACAAATTTCACGCCGAGGAAATGGAGCAACTTCTGACACAAACAGACTCAGCCGGGTGACGAAAAACATTCGTAAGCAGGCATATACAACGTCGCAGTTATGCTTTTTGTTACTAGATGTTTATTTATATACTGCTTGAAGTGGTTCATGTCAAGTTTGAACTAGAGCTAAACTGTACATCAAGACTGATGGTACAGACCGATGATGGTCAGTGTAGTCTAAATACTGTTTCTGTATTCAACTGCATTCATCAATAGCAGACTATACATACATTATATATATATATATATATATGAAACCGCATAAACTTGTCCTGGTAGGACATTAGAAAGGACTCATAAAAAGTAAAACGTCACCAAACCATGAAGCGCCACAATGAAATCCAATGACAGAAAAACATTGACCAGATGTGTATAAGTGGAATAAATTTTGTTGTTGATAAAAATTTCTTCGATAATACGGAATAATTCAATATTTTTTTTTTTTTTATCTTACTTGTATATATGAATGTGCGCGAAGTTGTATGTTTTTATTTTTGCTAATGCTGACACTGGCAAATTGACCTTTCTATATTGATTTATATATACATTGACTATAGTTGTCATCGTACTGTAGGACATCAACAGAAGTTTATGATAGGTAACTACAAATAGTGCATATTATATACACATATATATATATATATATGCATTACAGTAAGCAGATCCCTGTAGAGATAAATAAATCATCTTTTTAATACGTATCATTATCTTTACGTAATATACTTGTTTTTTTTCGTGATTGATTAGCAATAAATCGTAATTTTCCTTTACAATTTTGCGGAACTTACTTTGTTTGTGGAGTTTGTTTACATAGAGCACTTAAAGCGGTGACTGCTAAAATATCATGCACTTAAAAATAGTATTATCATTAAAAAGATATACCTTATTTTTGGTTTAAAAGCTACTTAATTCTTGACTTGGCTTAGTAGTAAAGCCATTCAAAAGATTAGTTGCCTATGGATGAGAAGCACCAAATGAAAATGCTATACCGTTTTAAATATGTTCACCTGGCCAATAGGTCACCGATTTATTCGACATAAGCTCTTACTTTGCGAGTACTATGGCCCGACTGAATTCAGGATGTCCAACGGAGCTTTTTATGTTCTTGGGGGTAACTTTAAATTATTATGCTTAACCCTTAAGGCTTTCTAGTTAGAAAGAATGGCCTGAAAATTAGTGGCGTATACGACCTATTACTGCGCGATAGAATATTCCTGTTTTAATGCATCAGGCATGAGATTTTGCCTAAAGCAGGATTCAGTGTAGCTTTACACTTATAGATGTATGTCATCGTGTTGTTTGTTTTCTCTATATATATATATATATATATATATATATATATATATATATATATATATATATATGTATATATAGGCAGGTATGATATGAATAGCCTGAAGGCCTTTTCGACTTTCTGTGGCCGGCAAGCGATGTGTATGCTTCTCGAAAATAGTGCGTCTGTCAACAGACCGGAAGGCACTTTCATAGCCAGAGCAATGTACACTGTGTTACTATTAGACTTAAACACTAATAAAATACAAGCTATATTCTTCAATGGCATTTTTATGCATTTTAAGTAATTCTTCATATGTATAGGTAAGCTGTTCTTTATTTATAATGATCGCCCATAGGACAAACACCATCAGAAGATGACAACAAAGTTACAAGTAAAGATTTTCATTTTCATGCCAGCTAGCTACCTTCGTTACGTATATTTTGAGGTAACAGTCAGCAGTACGAAACAAAGTTTGACATGCAACCGTGAGAATATATACTGCCATTATGCTGGCAGCTAAAAATTTTTGAAGATTTTCACCACGCATGACCTCGATAAAGTCAAAACAAATAAAATGAAGGCATGCATGAGCACCCTGACATCCCGTGCCGAGTGTTCATTACGGACAACAAATGGTCTTTAGCAGCTGTACGATTAATTGGCGGTATTTTTTAAAAAAAACAAACAGCGGGTGGATGCGTCGCCGCGCAGACCGCTCTAACTATCGCTAAGGCATCATTGCATCCGATTCCGAAACTGGGCTTTTAGCATGATAAACATTCAAGCTCAAAAGAACATATACTGCAGGACCCATTTGAGCGCCGTAGAAAATCGATATAAAGATTTAGATTTTTACAAGACTTTTTGCTTATTTTCTACGCAATTATAGCCATTATGTACAAGTTATGGCTCTACGATATCCTTTGCAATTATCTACAGACATCTTAGTTGAAATAGTTTAAGATGACATATAAGATGAACGGGTGCTTTGTTTCAGATGCGTCTCGAAATAGTTGTTTAAATTTGGACATGCCCAAAACGTATGTAAGCCTGGAATGCTTCTTGTTAACTAATCAGGCCAGAACTGGCTCTTTTTAGCCCTATTTAATCTACGGGTTTATATACATAGTCCTATTATCATTATTCTATATTTCTGTTTGTCTTACATTTTGTGTCATATCGTCACATAATATGAAAACATAATTATCTGGTATACAATTTTTCATCATCAACATCTAGCATTATTCCCTTGTTGCATTCTTTCTCTACGACGGTCTTACCATACTTTGTGTTCAATAAATTGGCTTATATCAAAAATAATACTGGCAAAAAATAAACCTCAGCTATACTGTTTTAAACTATGTCGTCCCAAGACATGGGGCGGTAACGCAATGTATATCCTCCTAACCACCTCCCATTGCTTAGGCATCCGTGGGATCATCCACTCGAAAGACCTTTGCTTTGATTCGCTTGTACCTAAAATTTTGAATTTAATTCACAAGCATAGTTTCGATCCGCTCTCCTCCTTCTGTCTGAACTTCATACCTGGTCATCTTAGCCATGGCCGTCTCCATGTTTTTTTTGTTCGACAACCGTCACAGATGATCTTCGTCGTGTTACACGGGGCCTGGAAATTATCTAACAAAAGAAATAGTAATTCACAAAAGAAAACGAAGGCCCCCAATAGAAATGAAACGTCCTCTTTTTGGCTAAGCCGCCTGTCACAATGCAATGAATAGTAGACTAACTTTACCAACTAAAAAAATACTTTATGTGAAAACGATCGATGAAGTCCCTAGACGTCTTTAAGTGTGTACTAACGCGGGTTTTTTCAAAAGAATTGCTTTCTAATTACGAGGAAATAATGGACAAAGCTAGTACTCTGTTAATTTCTAACTCCGAGGGAAGGGAGCTAAAAACAGTATACCTGAGGCAGTCAGACGAATTTGTAAAAGCCCAACTTTCTTAGGGAATAGGAATTAATAATTAACTGCCTTCATTACAAATTGGAGGATAAACATTGCAGTAAAAAGAACTCACAGTTCTAGCAAGATCTCTGTTCTTATAGCCAGTGTAAACAATTACGAGCTTTATCTGTTTACTTCTTTAGATCGATACCACTTTATGTTGAGCAGTGATTAAAAGCGTTGTCGTCCTTAAGTTTGTTGGCAATAAATTAAGTCGGTGCGAGACCAACAAAGGTATCAGTGAAAAGACATCTGTCTTATGGTATAAGTCACTTAGTTCTACTATACTGACTTTAAAAACTCTCCCACCACGAAATCGTGTCTACGCCACGTGCCCTTAAATCATTCACTTGTACGGCCTAACTCGATATAAGCAATGAAAATCGTACCAGACATCGCCGAATCGATTGGCTTTTTAACAACTCTGAAGCCATTGTTTGTAGAATGGATCAGATATAAGAGCTGAAGATAAGATAATGGTTTGTCTTCACCAGGGAATTTCAAAGCTCAGTCTAACTTCCTTTGGTTGTTACTTTACAAAAACTCGGTATGTATTAATAATTCGACTCTACATGCCTGAGATTTAGCTAAATAATCGCTAATAGTTAACGATGCCACTCCTGAGGAAAAAAGCCTGTACGAGATCTAGTTTTTACACTTTTGATTTCTATGAAAGCAAGCCATTTTGGCAAGCGTAAGTACTTCTGCCCTTAAATCGAGTACCTAAAATCTGTTTCCACGTAATACCGCCTACAAACTTTTGCTACTTATAGCTTATATATATATATATATGAGCTGGCCTTAGCGCCTGAGTGTCCTACGAGAAATGATTATCTCGTTTGTGAACTATCGTTATGGTTATAGGTTTCTACTCTAATCTATTCTGCAAAAATCGACCGCAGATCTGTCAATGAATATTCGTCTCCATGCGCTCTACCACCTATCGAGTACTCGACGGCATAGATTGGGTAACATAAATGGTCCGTTATGGGAGAGCAGCTTGTTTAAGTTTGCTTTCAGGCTACATTTTTGTAAGCTTTGCGTTTCGCAGACCACACTTTAAACGTTACTTGGCCGTGAGGATCATTCTCAACATGACAGGCGAGCGCTTCTACGAGGCCTTGCGAAAGGCCATACGAGATATCCATGCGAGAGCGCTGTGAGTTGAAGTGTCGCTGGGTTCCTGAAAGATTAGTTTTTCTGTCGTCGTCAAACCTCGATCGTTAAGCGATATGTCGAAAGGCGACCTCAAGTCTGCCTTGAGTGAACTACAAAAAACATTGATTATCTAGGAAGATGTATGCTACAATCCTTGATATCAATTATCTCAAACTTAGCGTCATTATATTAACTTAGTAGTAATCATTTGGAATGTGATCTGACTTTCACAACTTGCCATATATAAGATCTTATATAGGACAAAATGTGCTATTTGACATCCACACTCAAATGCTTCAACTCGAACATTCGTGGTGAACTTTTTGCACTGGCATGTATGTAAATGTAAACATTTATTACAGTCGTCTAATTACTGAAATAAATTTTTAGGTAAAAAAAAATAGCTTAACATTTTACCTAAGTAGGACTGGATCAGCAAGTGCCATAAATAGAAACACTGATCTTTGAGCTTCTCGCGATAGACAACTTTTTTACGTTAACTTAGGCAGCTTCTGTGTTTCCGTCATATTCTGTTGCACACTCCGAAGAGAAGAAGTTGCCTCGATAAATCCTAAAGCATTTAACGCTAGTCAGAAGTCGGTCATGGAGGGACGGCTATATTCTGTGCTGCCTGTGACTGTTGAACAAGGCTTTTGTGAATAGAGAAGGACAATAATTTACTTTAATTTGATACATGGGAGCCGATATAGAAATGAGGGAATAAATTCAGTCCTTGTGAAGTGCCCTTAATCCGACAGTTGCATGTGTGATAGTTGATCAATTAATTAGAAAGAACATATTAACCCATATACATAACCCAGCATATTAACTTATAAACATTTGTTCCTTACTTGAATAGTTACGAGTAAATAGAGATGCAGCTTTTTTCTCGGGTGAATTATAGCTTCTTGAAAAGAGCGATCATTCCATAATTAGAGCAGCAAAAGTTTCGAGCCAACGACAAAGTTTTTTCAGACCAATTATTTATAATAAAAGTAGACGATAGAGCAGGGGGTAAACTAAATTTGTATCGCATTGAGGAGATACAATTGTTTCTAACGCTTTCTTTGAGTGTTCTGGTTACTGTCCATAAGTTGCGTCTGGTGGAAATAACTGAATAACCCAGTATCTGTCTGTGGGTATTTCATCGGGGAAGCCGCAATTTAATTATCTCTGATGCAAGTTTCAATATGACTTCAAGCGCTAACAGCAATGTTGCTGTTGTTCAGCCAGGTTAGCCCAATAGTTCTCTCTTCTTTTCTGCTCAGTCTCTCTATAATGGTTGTCCACAGTTATTAAAGCAATTCTTCGCTAAGGTCTCTTGCAGTGAAACGCGCCTTAGACAACAAGTGAAGATGACAGGCAGACACAGGCGCCAGTTTCGGCTATATCAAGCTTCAATTCGACCCCGAAAGGGTTGAACGACTCGGTCCTGATGGCAGACTTAACGGGAACTCTCAAAACGATTTTAAGTAATAACGAACTAAGCAGTGTGGACAATGCGTGGTTTGCAGTTGAAGAAAACCATGTGCCAGCTTAACTATCGGAGGGAAACGCCGCATGGTACAAATTGGACATAGCTATGTGCACCTTTGGTTGAATTCAAGATTAGGCACCGATCAAGGCCGTATTGGCGCCCGGTACAAAGTAGGGCCATTGCCCCCCAAAAAAAAAGTTACCTAAATTTTCTACGTTGTTATTCATAAGTTACTTTACGAAAATTTAGTAGTAAATCAAAACTTCTCCGATTGAAGTCTAAAATATATACAGAGATTTTAATGAACGAATGTCAGCTCTTACATTATATTATAGATAGGATTTATTGAAACGCTGGATTTCTCATATCTTCCATTGTTGGAAAGAATGTATGTATGCCTTAGATAGATGTGGGGTATTCCTGCTTCAATAGCCGAGCCAAAAGTAATCAGTTAGCTCTTCAAGACCAAAAAAAATTGTGCAATTTGTGAATGATTTAGATATGAAAATGAACGACCTATTAAGGACGAAAAGGATAGTCAATGGTTGAGTTTCAGCGAGCACCCTTTATGCAGCCTCAATGTATTTAAAGAGGCTTTTGAAATCAGATTTTTAGGTCGAAAACCTCTACGACGAACGACGCCGGTTTGTTCCCTGGCAGACGTGCCCTACGTTCGTCTTATCATCAATTCGCACAACAGTCACATTGTTTATTATAGATTTGCTGTTGCGAAAGAAAGCACGGAGAGCTACTACTTTAGTACTGTTTGTATGAGCAGTTTATAGTGGAAAAGTCTCCTGAACCTAACGTCAAACTTAGAAAAATAATCCTTTCAACGATGTAATTTGCCGAGCCATAAGAAAGCTCCGAAAATTATATAGTCAGGGTAATTTTATCTGCTTAATTGAATTATACATTTCTAAGCATTTCTATTTTTTTTCAATTAAGTTATTAACAGTGGTCGATTGCCTACGGATTAGGTTGAGCAGCTGAAAGTTAACATACGGCAAGTGCATGTACGTACATTTAGAGTGTCAGATAACAGTTGTTTGAAATGTATACGTTGCACGCCTTTGTACAGGGATGTACGATTTGTGATAATCCTTTACTTGACGTGGGCTTTTCACAAATAAACATTTCACTTATAGTGTTTGTCGCACGGCCAAAATTTCTTAACTATAGACATCAGTAGAAGTCTTTTATCAACACAAGGGATACCTATTCTCCTTTATATTTATCCCATTAACGCTAGCTTTGTTATCCATCTTTTTCTTCCGTAAAGTAACAAGCTCACCTCTAACTATATTTTATTTGATCTAATCCTCATTTCATTATTTCGTGTTACGATCCTAAATCTCTACTCAGACTCTGCCCTTTGCCCTGGGCCAAAGCCTTACCACCCAGCAAAGATCCGCACTAAGAAAAGTGCATACATCTACCTCTAGCTGCCTCTAGGCCATGGGCGCCTACAGCACATTGTTGATCCTCTCCGCATGTGCCTTATTTACCCTGACATCACAATGAAATGGCAGAATAAGCTTCATCTGAGGGTCGTCCGTTTCGCAACCTGGTGATATTGGCTTAGCAACCAAGAAGGCCCCGTTACTACAAGCCACTGCTTTTTCTGATTCTCTGTTAATACGCCATGTTTCCAGGTCTACCCCATTCTACTCTACAAAAGGCATCAACCATACGACTTTGCTATTCACAGCTTATTCGTAACTAGGCAAATGCTGCCTTAACTGCAGGTGTACCGCCGTGTGAAATGGACGAACGGCTTTGCACGGTGAAACAGCATCTTACGACTAGAGACTTTTTGCATCCTGGCATTTTTGCGAAGATTATTTTCTTTTACTTAGCCTTATAATATTCTGTGGCGAAAATTATTTAGGCATATTAGCTGTGGATTAATGGTCTGCTTAGTAATGTACCAATGTAATCTTCAACATGTCCACATACACACAACAAAGTATCGAACACTAGTCGTATCCCGTTTTAAATACATTTTTAACAATTCTCAGTATACGATATGCTTACTAAAGGCACGAAAAAAGGTACTATTTCATAAAGGGTTTAGTTATACTGCTGCCTGTGCCTGTTTTTGCCGACCTACCGATATAGCTGAATTTGTTTTAAATTGCTAACATATAGCTCGGGAAAAAACAAAGAATATGCCTGCGGAATTCTTATCAACATTGAGTACGGTTCCTAATTATATATAATTATGTGTGCAATCGGACTGAAACTATTGTAAAAGTAAAGGTCGGTGTCTTACATAGCAGTAATACTGCATACAGCTACCTACGTGAGTTACGTTGAAGAATACAATTAGAGCGCGTACGCTTCATCTGTCCTTTTGTGGCATTGGAAGTTGGAAGATACACGATCATCGACTACACATTCGCGATCGCTCCGGCTGCGCGACCTCAAGCGTACTTTGCGATGTGCTTTGGCGGTCATGATGGCTGCTGCAACAACCCAACAGCTGAGTTCATTTGGGTTCTCGCTCGTTAGCAAACGCTAGACTACATTGTCGTCCAAGTTATTCCGGTTACCGTTTTCGACAATGACTCCTACCTCGGTAACGTTTGGCCTTTCGTAAAGGCGCAACTAGTGCCATAGGCAGCGAACCACGAAGCATTGTGACATGGAAAATACTCAGGGGCGCAAAACGATGACGTAGAGGCTGCCTATTCTCTGCTGACCTCTGACATTTCGTCGTTTGCTTATTGTACTTGGTGCCCATAGAGCGTATGCTGTACTTCGTAGCTTCTCTAAATGAGCAAGGACTGCGTCTAGCAGGATATTTATCGCAACATAGCCGACAACAAATGGGCCTGCTGGATTCGTCTTCACCTTGCTTTATGCAGACTTCACATATATATCAGCCAACACTGTGTCTGCGCACAAAACCTGTGCCCCACAAATGTATGACGTCACAGTGGATTACCCCGATCAGGTCAGTATTTCTGCTTTTGGACCAAACTAGAGCTTGTTCTCGGCGGCTAGGTACAACCGAAAAACGGGCACAAGGCCCAGAGCTCGTCCGTGACACCCATCGTGGGTGAAAGCGTTATGTCTAAGTTAATTCTATTCAACAGTCGGCACCGGTGATCATCGATATGGAGCCGTTTGGGAGGGGGTGGTAGAGTGAGATAGAAGTTGAGGGAAAAGCCAATTGCTCTGTACCTGTTGCCGTATATGCTGATTATACAAAACAAGCAAACGACGAATGTTTGTCCACACCCAATTCTACAAAGTAAGTTAACCTTGTTTTGGCTCTAAGTTAACTTTATTCGAATCTGAACTGCCTAGAAGAATGTTTCATTGAGAATGACTGTCTAGCCTTAAATGTTAACCATTTAATGCCACTTTCAGGTAATCTAGTATCGATAGCCAAGCAGAAGCCTTTCGTGCGCGTTGCACGTGACGAAGCCCTTCGTCATTAGCTGTTCTGTGTTCTGCTCCGAAGGTATTTCAGGACAGATCATTTTGGTTTACGCTCTTTCGGACGCCTGGCAACTGACGAATGGTGGGCTTTGGTTGGCTGACATATTACTATTTGGGTCGAAACATCATTTTCGAAACACGAAATTGATTAACGGTTAGTTAGGACTGGCCATTGCAATTTGGAGAAAGTATTACCGACTGTTTTTGCTACCCATATAAAGTATGAAAAAAAAAAAACTTGAAATTTATTTTATATTATTAATTCATTTTAATATGACATGCGAAATCATCGAATGTGCTAAATTTTCGATTGATTTCAAATGTCGGTTAAAAAACCGAGAATAGAATTTTTTTTTTTTGATATTTTATAGATAGAGAAAAAATGGAGGATAATGTTGAGTGTACCAATAGTGAGGGAGTGCATTGCGGTGGTGAAAACCTGAAAAAGTCAAATCAGCTGCATTGTTTTTAGTTTATATTGGATATTTATCCATATATTTCTGAAGTTCGATGCGAAGTCTCTTATACTCATTACTTTGCTAGCCGTCAGATTAGAGAGCGTGGCAGTAGTCGCCTTCGTCGAGTGGGTATGGTATATGTCACAGTACATTAACCCGTGCACCGATGCCCTACCATTAAACAATGAGCCTCGTCAAGTCCTGAAGAAGCACTCTAATTGTACGACAGTCACAGATGCACATCCAATTAACCAGACAAACCTGGTACCAAATAGGACGCAGGCTCTTATTATACTCCTATGTTCCTATATACATCCAACTGACTCAATCAATGCATTCTGTCATCAACTGTATAGTAAACACAGCACACAGACAAAAGTAACTTAAGCAAGACCAATATTTTTTCCTGTTGAACTTTCTAATCGGTAAATTTTATCTGTGTTCATTTGCATCAATTAAAGCGTTCCAATGAGTGAATTAGATAGTAACAGCTCATTCTAGAGCTAGTTGTTAGACCTGCCCCAAGGTACGCAAAATCATGGCTGTTCCTTGAACCTATTCAGTATATAGCGCATAAGGTACAGAGGCCCGTTTTTTTCTGAGCACGTGCTCACGTATCCATACCAGTACGCCCCGTCGACCGGATTGCTAGATCAGCCAGCGATTACTGATGCTTCCAATACATTGTCATACCTGTATAGGCTTTTATTTTACTTTATTGGCATGCTTCAAGAGAACTAGGTTTGAGTCAGTTTCGAATGTGCGCACATATTCAGCAGTGAGGGTTTTTTGTCCCTTTCGAGGAGCGCTTAATAAACCTCGAGGACTCTTGCTTTGATCACTAATTGGCCCTTCCTGGCTGGCTGGCTGGCTGTCGCGTTGCCATTTTGCTGTCGTAAGCATGTTTATTTATAAACCTGCACGATCCAACTGGGTCGCGTCTAAGCTAGGCATTAGCTTATGTATGTTAAACATGTATGTGTGTTAGCGTGCGTACACGCCATGACACACATGCGGATAACCGAACCAGAAATGCCCATAGAGCATTCTTCTTTTGTGAATGTAAATCATTTTCCTGGGTCTTGAAATGCGTTTCGTTTACGTCGTAACTAACTGTCGTATTTTTTGTTTTACCACAGCAACGGCAGTGGCAAGGCTAACAGTAAAAAAAAAAAAAAAAAAAAGCAACAGTTATATAAACAGGGCGAGTTTTATC